ACTTAATTATTAATTAAAATAAAACTTATAAAATAATTTTACCTTTTTCTTTACAAATAAGAATTAATTAAAAAAAAATCTAAATAAAAAAGATTTAATTATTACAAAAGAATCTGAAATTATATTAATGTTTATAAAAAAAATATAAATGAAGAGAATTCTAAATAAAAAAAAAAATAAAAGTAAAAATAATACAAATAAAAAAAAAACTTATATATGCAACTTGAAGTGACCATAACCTGAAAAATTCAAGTAAACTAATTTTTTAAAAGAAAAATGAAAAGTGAATTATAAAATAAAATTCATAAAATAATAATAATAATAATAAAATATACATATTAAAAAATAGAAGCCTTATTATAACAAATAAAAAATATACATATATCGATTTTACATGCATAATTGAGTTTACTTTTGCATTATATTACATTAGTTTACTAAGTTATTTTTTTATTATTCATGATATAAGATTAATGTATGTGAAATATTATCATTACACTCTTTGATTTTCCATAACTTCTTGCTGAATTTCGTACAAGTCAATTATGAAATTGGGAACTGTGATTGTACCAGGGACTGTTATGGTGTAATTAGTTTCATTCGGGACGTTGGTGTTTGTAGTGGGATCCATAACTATTAGGGGGTTCCAGAAAACATCTTCAATTGGAATTGTCACTTGATAAGCAGGGAGTCCCGGAGCAATGCAAGCAGTAGCGTTAGTAGTACCATATAACAACGTGCCAAAATCCCACTATAAATATTTGCCAACGCTATACTTTAATAATTGAATATAAATTAACATTAGATAAATCTTACTTACAAGTCTAAAAGACACTCGTGGTAGATTTGGATTTGTTGACACTATAAATCCCGCTGGTGCTGTATATCCTGCTGGTGCTGTTGGTGATACATTTTGGCGCGTCCATAACATAGCCTAATAATATTAAAAAAAAAAAAAATCTTAAGAGATGAAACTATAAAAAAATTAACAAGCTAGACATACCAACATCGACCGATGAACATTTCCTTGATGGCTCCTAATAGCATCAAGTTTGATGCCAAGTACATCTCGAACAAATTGTTGACGCAGCCACGTCTCACATCTTGTAATTAAGTTATCAAGGCTCTGAGCGTTAGCTATTTCAACAATTATTCTCGCGTGAGGCAATCCTACGTAAAGGTATTGTTAATATTAGGAAAGTGACCAAACATAAATTAACGTGAACAAACTCAAAGTACACTTTTGTCGCTTGGTGGAGGTCCGGGATGCGGAATATTAGGTCGTGGAACATGAGCAGTAGATGGATATACCGCGACGTCTGGTGCCATTTTTTCCCCATGGCCGATTGGATTATAATGGACTATAGAAGAAAAGTTAATTGTTATTACAAGCCAAAAACCAAACAGACTAAAAAAAACTCTTTACATGGTTGACCACAAATTATTATCGGACCAAGTAATACACCATTATTTGGTCTATCGAATATTTTCATCAAAAGAAAAGCAGAGATTTCATGTTCCGAATTAGCCATTTCAATAATATAAACGTTTTTGTTTTCCCAGTAGAATTTGTACCCAGTCGATTGGTTGTGGTCAAGAAAGGTGTTATACTCTTTCACTGAAACGTTTTTTCCAATCTGAAAAGGCAAACTGAAAATCATACACGTCAAAAGTAAGCAGACCTTAAAGAACATGCGCGAGTCAAATACTTACTTTTCTTCTGATAAGGGAAAGTCTGGCAGTTTGGGATAGTTATGAATATTTTATTAAATGTGTTTCGAATGTTCTTTACTATCCTTACTGCTTGTCTCCGACGAGAGCTTGAGATTGAGGAGGACATGCTGAAGAGGTGGGTTTTGTATGAAATTAAAATTTTTTTTTATTCTTTGATTTCTTTGATTAATTTAAAGAATAATTACGGTGGTTAATTTGATCAATGTAATAAGTAAGTCCTGCCCGGATAATTATAATAAACTTTTATTATACTATAACCTTTATATAAACATTAAAAATATACTTTTTTGTCATATGACCTAAATACAGTCAAAACTCGTTATAGTGAACTTTCAGTTCCAGCCAATTTTGTTCACTATAAAAAAATTCTTATAACGCGAATTTTTTCGAAACTTTTATTACTGTACTATATTATTAAAACAAATACAACGACCAAATTTTTTTTTTTTGAACTTTATTATTAAAAATAATGCAAATTACACATTTAACATGACATAAAATTATCTAATGTAGATTGCCGTGCATTATCTTAAATTTGCTTGTTAATTCTCGATTTTAAAATATTAAGAATTTTCATCTCCGCATAATTAATTGTAATATTATCAGGCGGAATTTTAAAATATTGAATCACCTTCTCTAAATTATCTTGCTAGAGTAAGTAGCATGAAAGGTTGCAACCAAATAGATTTTGTAGAAGTTCAGGCTTTAGGACATCCCCTTGCTAGAGAAATGGCTAGATAACTGACTTAAACATATAGCTGTTTGCAATATTTGGAATGATAGCTTCATATTTAATTGTTGTTGTTTTTGAGCTGGATCTATTTCAGTCTTATTTTATTTTAGTTTATTGAAAGGAAATGATGTTTGCAAGTAGTACAATACAAATCTCAAAGAATAGGAAGCATTAATCATAGCAAAAGATTTGTGAAATGAAATATAATATGGAGTTGAACAGGGAATATTGCAGAATCTACTCAATCAGAATAATTACTAAACAGGTTGAGTAGATGGCGACTCATAACAATGACATCTGAGATAGATTTTGTCGATCTGAGGTGACAAGTAGTGATGAGTGAGTAATTTGCTTTGGCATTCAATCGTTTAAAATTGGTTTCTATAATTAATCTTTTTATACAGTTACAATTCGCAAGAAGAAATGGAACAAGTCTCGCCCTCGCTAACCGTACTCCGATTAAGCGTACACGACTCGAACAGTGATGACGTGATTGAGGAACCTTTTGAAAGAGCTGTTGGGGTACTCCAAAAAAAAAGTATATCAAATTTAATCAAATCATGACTCTAATTTTTCTGAATTTGATAACAACAAGTAATATCGCATAGACTAACATACAATTACATAATAATTCTCTTCTCTTTCGTACAATTCGCTTTTCATTATACATTTTTAATTCTTCAATGATGGCTAATTATTTATGATGAAAATTTCTCTTCGGATCTACGTACCGACTTTTCACGGAATCACTTCTTAGATTGGCAAATTGATCGGCAGTTCCGTGGTTAAAATTCTGCTTATTGCCGGGCCCTATAAATTTGGCCAAAAATTTTTGTTATCCTAAAAATCTTAATTCTAGCCGAATCTTATTTCGGTGGAGTTTAAATAAAAAGTTAACCCACCCGTTAGTTATAATTGGTCCCAACCTCTAATCATGCGTAATCAATTTACCGAAAATCATGAAAAATTTTGTGAATATGTTACCCTCATCACGGAACGTTTCGGCTCTACCAATAAATGTTTTTTCGGAACATCTGAAAGAAGAAAGGTTATAATCGTTATTCGCGTGATTTGTTTCAACAGCCAATCATGAATCAATATTGTGTTATCTCGTGCCAACTTTCAATTGGAAATTATTGGACATAAAAAGTGACATGACATTTCAATGTTGTTTTTATTATAAGGGAAAAAGATATTCCATATTAGATTATAGACTATAGGAAATTTCTACAAATGTAGAAATGTGATACATGGAGATTCATTAGATAATGATTTTATTGATGATGTTTATTTTGTGTAATAGTAATAAATGTATATTGATTGTCAAAAAAACCCTTAATCCTAAATGACCAACTACACCCCCGTGAAGATTATTATTAAAGATGAATTTTAAAAATCGATTAAAGAAAATTAATTTAGTAACGTTAAATAAAAAAAAAGCTATATACAAATTAAAAATGGTAATAATAAATAGACGTATCACTCATTCCTATTAATAATCTTGAAAACCTCAAATTCCTCAACACAAAAACTGGATGTATCACTCCGTATACCCATCTCATAAGAATGCTTCCTAGCACTACAAGAAAACGATTCATTAAAATTATTATCTAACCTCAGATCACCATTGCCAAAATTAATTACTTCTACGTCACTATTTAATTTGTAGATCGCGTTAGCCTTACACCCCCGTTGTAAGTAACTGACACAAGGTTTCTCTAAAAATTTTCCAGTTTTAAAAGAAAATATAAAACTACCCATCGTACATCCATTAGCATCCGTATTCCAAGTGAGTGGATTATATCCACCCAAGAATTCATCAGTACCCGCCACCTTCATTAGAATAACGGATCCTTTCACGTTATCACATAATTTATGAAATGAGTCTGCGGTAAACCCATCCCTACTACTTCTCATTAATAATTCAAATCGATATGGTAATTTATTAACGGAATAAGGTTCAATCCTGCGATCAATCCATCCACAAATGTAACTCAAATGATCCCAATTGATTAAACGAGATTGAATTCCGGTACCTCGCTGTCGCATAATCTGCTTACACTTGAACAACGGCATTATGAAATTGGTCATGATGGAATCATACAACTCGTAAGGGATGAGAGTCCGATATGGCCACACGTAGCGTTGAAATTCACTTTGGGTCATATTACAAAATCTAATATAAGGTAGATATTCTTCTATAGAAGATTTAACAGCTATAATATCACAACGACTCCATGACGAAGGGTTTACTGGGATATTAGGATTTTGTTTTATGCCCCAATGGACGATGTAATCCCATAATTCCACCTCGTACAAGTTTAATTCGTTACGTTGAAGTAAACCCAATAATATATTAGATTCAAAAGAAGTAAATTGTGGTGATTTAAATAATATTGAAGGATTCTCGCATATGGTTTCCAAACAAACGTGTTGTAATGCTTGAAATGAGGGATATTTAAACGCGAATTGGGTTATTTCCAAACAATTTTCTTGTAACCATGATAATTGTGCAGTTGTGAAATTTTTTTGAATGTAATTGATGAAAGAGGTAAAGATCATCTCATCAGCTGATATCAAGAGCTCAATTATGAATTTACCATCTTTATCGCTTAATTTTGCATAGTTCGTGTAACAAAAGCTAAGACAAAAGGAAAAAAGGGTTTGCGAGTTAGTTTTATCAAACTCCCGCCAATGGTAAAGTATAATTGATACCGTATCGTACCTTAAAATGACTTCGAATATCTCTGGAGAAATATTTGGTTTGCGATAGACTATCATTCCATTCTCCCTCTGTATCCAATTGCTTGACAATGCGGCGAGAAAATAAGGAGACTTATCCCTCAGTATATTGGAGTGCGCGTGAAACGTTTTGATTGAAGGTTCTTCCCCAACATAGATTATCATATCGTATTCCTTGTTTATTAGAGGTATATGATGGTGATGATGATGTATACTTGGCATCCTTTGGTGTGGTAACTTTGAACGGCTATATGTCAACATTTTTTTTTTTTTTTTAAAAATATATATTTATTTTTTTTTGAATTTAGATTTTTTCGTTCGATATAGTTTTTAGTTTTGAGAGAAAAAAAAAAAAAAAAGAATTCGCCAAGTAATCCAGAAACGTAACTTGTATTTATATTCGTTTAAATAATTTTAATAATCTTGATGATCTATTTTGTGACACCAACAATAAATTAACATCGCCACATAATTTATTTTTGAATAAAATATTTCCGATTATAAAATCATATTGTTCGGAGAATAACTGCGTTATATAATATCATTTATGTAAAGTTATCAAAGAACTCCGTAATTTTAAGAATGTATAATTCATGACACATTTGGAACAATCCATGTTGGTATTTTCTTCGGCGCATGTCTCTTTTTTTTTCAAAAGGTTTTCGTTTCTTTTTTTGGTATGTAGCTCTTACGCCAACGAATGGTAACCAATCCACCTTATTATTAAATTATGCATAAAGACATAATGTTTTTTTTTATTCTTTCCTAATTCCTATTCGGTAGGTTCATTCCAGAGCTTTCTGGGCAGAAGGTCAACCGCTTAACTCCGTTTCCGTTTAATAGAATGATTAGAAATGAAAACAATTTTTGGGGGAGGTCGATACTTCTTTTTTTCTTAATGAAGGTGTCCGTGAGTACATTTTGTGCATACATGCGTACATATCTGTATTACGGATTTTTTTGAAATCCTCAAAAAGTATAAAAAAAAGTATTTTCCATTTCCAATTTATATTTTTGGTCAAAATGACCTTTATTTATTGACACCGCATAATGTTTTGCCATAGCGTTCGCCGTGCCAAAAAGAAGATTTTCCTATTCCGTTCATGCGCACCACACGTTTGCGATTGCATACACGAGACAATCGAGTTTGAACCTTATTAATCGTAGGAATTGGTTCAAATATGGATAGATAATCTCTTTTTCCAAACGATAATAAGAGAAATTTCTCTCTTTTTTGGAATAATGATGAATTTCCTTTTACAAATCACATTGTTGCCTCAAAAAAAAATCCTGGTCAACAATGTCTTAAACTTTTCACATTTATAGTACTAGGGGATGTTGATTAAGTTGATTGGACCATGATGTCATATTAACGTATGTAAGAACAATCGAAAAGTTTTTTCCCTTGAGGTTGCTGCGCCACATAATCTGCGAAACCCAACCCTATTGTATGTTCAAAAAATTAATACTTACTGATTGTGCGAGAATTTACCCCCCTATTATTCATAAATCGAGTTTACCAAAAGGTAAAAAAATACCTGATTCGGGTTAACAAAGAGAAATAAAAAAAAATTTTTTATTTTAATTTTTTTTTTACCCAAAAACTTCCCCCCCGTTCACAATCATCATGCTGCCATTGTATCCTAATCTCTTGGTTCCCGACAACTTGCTTTATTTATCGTTAACAATGTTCTAAACCTTAACCTTGTATCTAATCACATCAAATTTTTTTTTTTTTTGCAAACAATTGCGCTGCGCCACAAACAGGCATGTATGCCGTATAAAGAGCCAAGAGTCCCCTATTGTTTTCGAGAATTGGATAGGTGATCACATGGTCATTGTTTGAAAAACTTTTTTTTTTCTCCTCTAACAAAGAAACCTATGAGAATTTTCCCTTTTTCCGTTTATTTGTTTGTTTTTTCCCTTTTTTTTTTTAAAAAAAAAAAATAAAACGGATAAACAAACAAAACAGAAAGAAAAGGTTGTAGAAAATATATAGAATAATAGGATTAGAACAATGAATGAATTCTTTAAATAGTTAAAAATTGACACGAGAAACCTATTTGCAATTTATTTTTGTTGAGACTTTACTTTAGCTTCAGCCAATCAACGCACGGTCTCGTGTGATACAAAGGACTGGTTGTTAAAGTCGGAACTAGTTGAAATCAAAGAATGATTAAAATCTAATTCAAACCAAAATTGATGACTTACAAACTGCTTTTCATGATCAAAGTGAAAAGGTTGGATTTATCAATTGTCCGTTCATATTGTGACAATTTTGTGATAAATAGAGACATCCGTGCAATCACAAATGTATTCCTGTCGTAGGATCAATACCAAAAGAAAGAATTGAAAAACGTTACTATAAGATAATAAATCAATTTGAAGGATAAAATGCAAGGTGTTGTAAATTTTTAAACGTTTGACAATGAGATGTGCAGTTATCACTTCATGCAAGGATGTTTGTAAAACTTTTAAATTTTGTAATGCAGTTTGACAAGATGATGCGCAAGTTCTGCATTTCTGAAAGGAAATAAACTAGGAAACGGGAACCGTTGTTACGATCTTAACTAAAAAAAATTCACACTGGTATTTGCTTTACACCAATCCGCATCGACTCAATTATTGAGCGGACGTCTTTAGTCAAACAGCACAGAATTATATAGTCCTTCGCTACGCTCCGGACTAATAATATTAAGAAAATAAATTTATTTTGTACGATGTAATGCAATTTTAAAAAATGTTTGACAAAGAAGATGCGCAGTTCTACATTCATGAAAGAAATAAATAACATTAAGAAAATAAATTTATTTTGTACGATGTGATGCAATTTGAAAATGTTTGACAAGACTTTGTGCGCCTGTTCTGGCATGTTCCAGTTGAACAAATCACGTGAGTTCACAAATCATACGAAAAAAAAAAAAGACGAAATATATTATGTTTTTATAAATACTTTCGAAAAATATAATTTATTTAAATCCAATGATAAATCGAAATATGGAAATAAATGAAAGACATGTTAAAAAAATAAAAAGAATCGAGATAAAATTAAAAAAAAATAAAAACGGATTTATGCCATGCGAATGAAATAAGATATACGCGAAAAAGAAAATAAACATCATACGAAGGTTATGAAGAAAATTTAAATAAAGGTACGAGATTTTAAACGAAAGATTTTTGTCAAATATTACAGATTTTTGCCTAGGAACATGAAATGAAAGAAATGCACGATGATTTTTGCCGAAATAAATAAATATATAAAAAAAAAATGCCTTAATTAGTTGAAATGAATGAATTAATCCAGATTAATTTTCAAGTACAACATTTTGATAGTAAGCCATGCAAATTGCATTCGCTTCATGTCCGAGACCAAGAAAGTTTACATTGGTCCAGACTTCATAATAATTATCCAAATTCATGCTGTCATACCATTTATCGCCATCACCAGTATACAGATATTCCAACAAGGGTTCGAAGTTTTCAGGCGAAGGGACTTTAATTTCCATCGGTTTTCCTGAAATATACTCTTCAAATTTGTCTTTAAAGAAGGTTGATTGTGGTTCCAAATAATTCCTGTGTATCCAGAAAGGAGCAGGAAGATCCTCGACAAATAGTTGAGCATCAGCCGATGTCTCATTGTTGAAGTTTTCATGTCCATCTTCATGCAACTTTGGTATCAAATATGATTGCGGCATACTATCCGAATCACCCGAATCATCCGAATCCTCCAAATATTCATCCGAATATTTCAATTCATCCAAAAAGTTCGTATTGTAAGAGGGGAAGAGTGTTGTAACGGCTGAAGTGGACATGTCGAGATGTATCTGGATCGAGCAGAAAATTGATTTGTTTTTTTTTGTGAAGAATAAAGTTTCAAACTTTATCGATTTTTCTTTAATTTGTTTTTTTTTTAAAGAGAATTTTTTTTATTTATTTTTTTTTTTTTTTAGATTTTTTTGTTTTTTTTGAAATTGTGTTTTCCTCTTGTACACCACGTCTTTATATATTTCCGAAGCTGTTATGAAAATGATGAATCTACTAAAAAAGAAATATAAAAATGATTCACTCCTCATGTAAAACGCTTCAATTGCCGAGAAAACAACGAAAAGTGTCATTTTTTCCAACTATGTGTTCATTCATTTATTATTAAATCTCATGAATTCATTTATATACGAATCTTTTTTGGCTTGCGTCTCTTACGTCTCCGTGATTTGGTGTGATCATTTTTTTTTATTGTCATTTTAATATTTAAAACGACTGCGGATTTTCTCTGTGTAACGGACTATATAGAAATTATTTTTTTCATGTGTTTCACGGAATCTTTTTTTTTTTCTTAAAAAAATAATTTATGTATATTGATTACATAAACATATATCAGAAACGTCATCATTGAGCCATTGGCAAAACAATAGTATCACGGTGCTTAAACATTGTTCATATGCATATGTAAAGAATGATTTTTTTTTTTTAAAGAAATGTTGGGGTTATCTTTTCTATAACGCTCGATTATGATTAGCCTTGAATTTGAAATGATTGGAAGTAGAACGATAAAAGAAGCTGTGAAACAGCCTAAAAATATCCTTATAACGATTCTATCATGGTTTCAAAATGTCTTGAAACCGAAAAAAAAAAAAAATGCTTTTGCTTTAGCAAGTAATTGCATGGAGTACCCATGACGTTAAAACCGGTTTTTTTTTCGGTCAATAGATTAATTATTGGAAATCGATCAATTGAATTCATGAGATAAAGAATTTTATGAGCGCCAACTGTTTCGAAAAAGAAAAATTTTTTTTACGGATTTACATTAATTCTGCCTAAATTGTAAAAACTGTAAAGCCCAATTTTTTTTATCATTTTTTTTTTTTTGATTAAGGTTTCAAATAAATATTGTTCTTTGAATCAATTAAACTGGGGTTCGTCCTCTATTTAATATGAATAAGGATGCCATAACAAAGATCGTGATAACAGGATCAGAACTTGAATAATTTATGTTTAACACACAAGATTCATTACTTGCCTTTATTTGTAAATGTAAGAAAATAATCTCAAACCGTCCATTCTTGTTAAATTAAGAAATACTTTCCTTTCCCCTTCGCGCTTTCACTTTTTTTTTCCTCCACATGACACAAAATGATTCGATTTCAAAATAATCTTTATATCGTTGGGAAACCTTTAAGGGACAATTTCTGAAAAAAAAAAGAAAAAAATTCTCATGAGAAAAGACCAATGTGACCAATCAAATCCAATTTTTTTTAAGATTATACTTTGTTTACAAATTAAGTAAAATTTCAAACTATTTACTTTTTATCCTTTCTCCCTTGAAATAAATGATATTCTTCAGTATGCTTTGCCATTTTTCCGTTATCGTTCGTATGACAAAATGATCATTCATCTTTTTTTTATTATATAAGGGTGATCTAACCGTTTATGGTGGTAATTTCGGATAATGAATGAACCCTAAATTACATTTCATTGAACACGACATGCATGATAAGGTTTGTACTAAACTTTGATTCTTGGAAATGGGTAAGTGGAAACTTAAAACAAATACTAAAAGGAATATACTCGGCAAAGTTCGGCGTAAACCCCTATCCTCATACGGAATTGGTTATGACTTCACCCTGCAACACACAAATATCAGATGAATTGCTTGCGATACTTTCCTTGTTATCACACAAAATGACAAGGTTGGGTTTGGCGACGCTTGTTCGTGTTATTATTTGGAATGCAAATTTTTTTGGAGTCTAGGGTGAGAATTTTTTTTTCAAAAAAAATTGTATCAATTTTTATTTGATGTTCTTCAAGTGTACGTTCCTGGGCAAAAAAAAAAAAATCATTATTATTTTGGGTGGTTGCACATGGCGGTCCTTGGTTCATGTACCCCTGGCACATCCCTAATTGGGTGATTATTTTAAGGAATCTTGTCATGAACTGATTGATTAACATTGAAGTACAAGTTGCATGACAATTATTGTTTCATTGCATCAAGTGTAGGTTCATGCTCGGCTCCTTTTTATTCTTCAAGATTTGATTTATCCGATTTTAGTGGTTATAATTTCCAATAACTTTTCGTATTCTCTCCAGCCGGTAAGTTTTCCCAAGATAATAGGAGGTATGGTTTATTCAAGTACCACGCAAGTAATTGGCAATTGAACCGTTTTCTTCTAAAGTGTATGATGTAATATCAACATGCGCTTTCCATAACGATGATGTCCCCTACCTCCTCTTGAAGCAACTCTAATATAATAAAAAAAGTATAGTTCTTATAGGCCGTTAATGCGTTAAACGTATCCTCTAATTTTATCTGAGGAAAACAAATACCTTAAAACATTAAAGACGAATTAGTTTTGTCTTTGTGGTGGTGGTTGTTGTCAGGAGAGGATTATTATTATTCTTTGTGTAATTAACTTGGTTAGTTCCTTTTCTCTTTTTCAATTGATCGAGGCATGTCATAATGGGTACGACCGCATCATCTACACCGTATTCCGACGCTTTCATTAGAAGCTCCAAGTGTATTATTTCTCCAAGAACAAAATGATTCGATTTCAAAATAATCTTTATATCGTTGGGAAACCTTTAAGGGACAATTTCTGAAAAAAAAAAGAA